GTAGCCAAAAATAAACTCGTTTTAGACGTTGTACTCCAGGTCAATTTAAAGTGCAATTTATTTGATGATTTAACATTTGCACAAAATATCGTACGACTATTATAACAGACAAAAACTTGTTGTTAATTAATACTAACCATACGTTTGTGCCAAAGGTTTACTCATTGAGTTGAAAATGAGTCACAAATTGATGCAAATTTTTGCGGCACTTTTGGTGTGCGGTATAGCCGTCAGTATAGCCGCCGACAGCGACTGGAAAAGTGCTAAAACTCTGTATGAGTTTGCCGTTAAGGACATCGACGGCAATGAGGTGTGTATTGTGTGCCAAACATCAGGGTATTTATGTGATAGCGAACACCCCACGGGTTAGCCCTAGTAACTAGTGGTTAGACTTTAAGTCCCGTAATTAGTGCTGTATTTGAGTGTCAGTTACGATAAACTATTAAAAAGTTTTTATTATGTATTGTGTCTAAAAAATAACGATTATTATGAACCCCCTGTCATCTTATAGTACCTGATGTTAAATTAGTTGTCTGTTAATTAACACTGTATTTGACAGTCATTTGCGTACACTTTGTAACTATTATGCAATAAAAGGTTAACCTTTGACCCCTTGAGGTTAATCAATTTTATAGTGAACTATAACCAGGATATTTGATTAACTAACTGTATTACGGTACTAACTTTTTATATTATCGGTACATTAGTTTAAATATGAATTTTTAAAACATTAGGTCTAGTAGTTTTAGTACACCTACCTGTCCTTATCATTAATATAACATGTTTGCTAATTTCTAATGTGTTGTTTGTATGCCATTCACAACCCTGAGTACAGGTATCACTGGACAAATACAAGGGCCACCCGGTGCTGGTGGTTAACGTGGCGTCCAATTGTGGCTTAACTGACACTAACTATCATCAACTGAATGAGTTGTACACAAACTATAGCGGCAGAGGGCTTAGGATAATAGCCTTTCCCTCCAATGAGTTCCTGAATCAAGAGCCGGGAAGTAATGCCGAGATCAAGGAGTTTGCGAAGACATATGACGTCAAGTTTGATATGATGGCCAAAATCAAAGTGAACGGTCAGTATAGTAGTCGACATCCTGTTCCCTACTTTCATTGAGTTTTATGAATTAATTTTTAATTTAATTTACTAGTAGATTGAGTTTATAAACACAATAGGTTTTATGCTAGCTACAATTTACAGTTATTTTCACAAATAGTTTACCAAGTTTATATTCAATCTCACCTGTACTGTTGATAATAATACGGTAATACTATTAATTCATTTATGAACTAGATACAATTTTTAATACAAACCAAAAACATATTACCAGTCACCAGAATATTCTATACATTATTTAATTTTATATTTAATATAATGATAGTATGTTTATTAATTAAATGCTTATTAATGACTTTGCTTGACATACCGGTGCCTTACAGGTGATGACGCGCACCCCCTATACAAGTGGTTGAAGGATAAGCAAGGTGGTTACCTGGGTTTCGATGGCATTAAATGGAATTTCACGAAATTCCTGGTCGACCAAAACGGAGTTCCCATCAAACGATACGCGCCGACAGTCGCTCCCAAAGACATCGAGTCCGACGTGAAGTCGCTTTTGTACAAAGAGTTGCGATAATTGGGACACAAATTGCAGTAAAAGTGTCGTTAGTTTTTGTAATTTATTTTTGGAAATAAAAATATTTGCGATTAATTTATTTGAATAAAAGACCTTTTATTAATGAACTCATTTATTCAATTTTAATAAATATATTTATAATTAACTAATATTTTTAAAACTGATAAAAAATTTTATATGGTAAGTAGTAACGTCAAATATCATAATCTATTAGTTTGACAAGTACAGTATTAGTAACAAATTAAATAATAATTATTACCGGTAACATCAAAGTAGTTTAAAACATAACTTAGAGGTAAAAACAACTTAGAGGTCATTATGCAAAATATTTTATACTTGGATTCAAATAAATTAAATAATTCAATTGTTAAGTTTAATAATATTTTATTAGCTTTTAAATTTATTTAAAAATAACTGCCTTATTTGTTGAATATTAATAATTTTATTTATTAGTGCATAACATTTCATTAGATATACTGAAAATTAATTAACACAACTCTAAAATTACTTTTAAAATAATTAAAGAATAATTAATAAATTTTGAATATTTTGAATAAAACATTAATAAATATTTTTAATTAATACTAACCATACGTTTGTGCCAAAGGTTTACTCT